GACAATAAAGCGCCGGTACCAATATTACACTACAACGAGTTGACTCTGCTCCCGCGATTACGCTAACAATGCTGTTACTGTAGTAACATCCCATTGTGGAGGTCTCACTGTTCTCCCCTTAATTTTTATCGGCGTCAGATTAAATTGCAATAATGTTATTGAGCCGCCGTTAGCGTTGCCACGGTAACAGTAACATTAAGGTAGCGCTATCGCCTTACAGCGGCCCGACCGTTCCACCACAAACATTTCCATGTAGTAAAACAAAAGAGATTACCGCAGTAACATCAAACTGCGGTGACCTCATTAAACCCAACCGCGGCACTCTGGGGGTGCAGGCACGGAGGACGCCTTCCCTTCGTTAACGACTCCCGCCCTAACGAAGACAGGGCACGTAACTGGGGCAGCCCGGAGCAAGCGCTTCCAGTCTTGGGATCTGGAGCCTCCGCTTTTCCCCCCACCTCCCACCCCGCCATATAATTGCTAATTAATAATAACGTTTAGCTCTCAGATAGCGCGCTCCATCTTCAAAGACCTCTGTCGACATTAATGAATTAATCCTCATCAACCCCCCCTGTGAAGGAGGTGACAATTATTATCTCTGCCTCGCAGATGTTAAGTTGATTTGCAAAGGGGTCAAGTGAGTCGGGGGAGGCCGGAGGGAGACTGCCCAGCCGCATGCCGGCTACGGGGATGAGTTTCCCCATGGAAATTGGGGTCTGGAATAACCTTGGGATGGAGACGGAGAGACCCGGGGCCAGCGACGGATGCGGGAGCGGCACAAAAGTTACCCTCTCCTCCTCCCGTGGCATCAAAGGGGAAGAAATTGGGCAGAGTTTGAAGCTTGAAACGAGCCGCGGCCTCACCGGCGGCTTTATCTCGCCGGCGCACACCTTGGCAGCGATGCTCCCGGTGCGGCTCCGCTGCCACCGGTGCCCCCCGCCACCTGCGCCCGCAGCCCCTGCCACCGGCGAGCAGGTAATTAACTCCCAAACAAAGGCAGGGATTTGCAGATTAAGCCCTGGCCGGGGAAAAAAAACAGAGTGGGAAAACTCATTTACACCAAACAAAAGGGGAGGGGTGATTAGTTGCTCCAGTGACAACAGAAAAAAGCCAGATAGGGCCAGGGAAAACGATAAAGAAGCGGGGGAAAGCGTTAATATCCCCCAGTTGCCTTTTTCTTCTTTTTTTTCTTCCTTCTTTCTTTCTTCCTAAGCACTAAAATTCCACCATTTTCTATCATGCAAATTGATGTGCCTAAGTGAGATTAAACTCTGGCAGGCACCGTGCCTCCTTCTCCGAGTCCATTTCCCGCGCCGAGATAAGGCCAACTTCCCTTAATGCATCTTCCGAGGCAGTGGGAGGGTTTCGCAGGCGTGCATCGCAGACGGCTTATTATCAATACAAATAAGAGCTTTCCAGACACCGGCCTCCTCCTCCTCCTCTCGCTTTGAAAGCCAGGAACCCGCAGAAGAGCTTAAAGAGCTCAAGTGTCCGGGGAGAAAGGGGAGAGATGCTGAGCCCGAGATGCTGCTGCAGGGGTGAAAGCGGGACCTTGCTAAGGAAACCAGAGAGGAAGGGATAGCATCGCTCCTCAGAGGCCCTAAAAAGTCCTCCTTAATAAAAATGAAGGCTGAGTAAGTGACACAGATGACACAGGTGATCCTTAGGCCTCTTGTTTTAGGTCCAGCTGTAGTTTGGGAGCATCTTTCCTGCCTCCTTGTACAATTTGCAGCTATGTTGTTGGCTCTCATCAACTTGGCATCTCTAACTCTGCGCCTGACCCCGTTTTAAAACAGTCCCTGAAATAGCAGGTCTGGACTTTGATGCGTACAGTGCCAAGGGTCTGTTGTCTCCTTCCCGGGCTCATTTGTCCCACATTAGCGCAGAGGCAGTGGGAAGGAGAAACGCAATAACCTGCTATTCCTGGATCGGCAGCAATCACCTTTTGCAGCAAGATTTTGAGACTGAAAAGTCGTTCTGAAAACCCGACCGACGCAGAAAAGTCAGAGAAACGGGGCTCGCCTGGTTTCTGAAAGAAGGTGGCTAAGGAGCACCACGATAACAACCTCCCCAAAAAGCGAAAGGTTGTCACAAAGAGGACACTGAGCCATTGTTCCCCACGTCCGCCGGGGATAGGCTGAGAAAATCTCCACTTCATTTGCCACAAAGAAGGTTTAAGTTAGATATTAGCTATACATTTTCTAATTATAAAGGGAGCGAGGCAGGAGAATAGGTCGTCTAGGGGGACTGAAGAACCTGCTTTGTTAAAGGTTTTCAAGAATAGCTTCCACATGTGTTTGCCAGCCCTGCCTCTGCCTCCTTGCAGAGGATGGGCGAAATGAGCTCTTGAGGTGCCTTCTGCCCTCCTATTTTGGGATCTCGGCCATCAAAATACAGTCAACATAGAAATAAATGTGCAGCGCACTCACAGCAGACACCAGGGATGCCCCAGCTCCCCATTCCGTCCATCTGTAGTCATTTAGGACAGGATTATACCGGATTATATATTTATTGGACCCATTTTCTGAGCTGGGATAGCTAATCCTGGCACCAAATTTTAATCAGGGTCATTAAGGCCTCCTATTAATTGGACATCACTTTCATGTCCTGCTCCGGCGCGTTGCTGCTCTCTTGACACCTTTCCCCCTTCAAATTTGGGGGCCTGCTCCCGAGAGCCAGTATTTCTGCTACAAAAAGCTGCTATTTCTGCTAAGAAAAGCCAGTATTTCATGTTATAAAACCAAGCCCATCGCTGAATCCTCCAGCACTTAACTGCAGGGCTGCAAGGAGTTAAGACGTGACCTTTTCCTCCAGTGCCCAAACATCTCCTCCTAATGACACAGCAAGAGGCAGGAGGGATGGACCTGGATGTCTGGTGATACGGGGAATTTAGGTCAGGAAACTGGAATGGGAAGAGAACAGATAGAAATTGTCCTGCATTACCCCGGTGCCTGATAGCAACTTCAGAACTCGCGGGTGATCGACTTTGGCTTAAGAAACTCAGGCAGGTAATAACAGATTGCAAGATAAACAGCAAGGACCCGGGCTGGCAATGCATCCGCTTTCTCTTCACAGTTAATGGAGATGGAGAAAGTCCTGCTCTGTTTAGTTTGCTTGATTGCTCCGAGAAGAAAGAGAAAATGGAAAGGGAGGGAGGGGGAAAAAGAAAGGCCCCGGCTTTGGGTTTTTTCCCCCCTTCTATTCATTAGGCTGTCAATAACGCTCAGGCCTGGCATATCGACGGCGGATTAGCTCAACCCGGCTCTGTGTACAAGACCAATGCCTTTTTAACCCAGCTTGTTTCCAAATCAATACACCCATCAGCATTCAAAAATTAGCCCGAGACGAGATTCCAATACTCGAGCTGGTGTGTCACGCTACGAGGGCTCCTGGCCAAATCACACCAGAAGAAGAAAGAGGGGGAAAAAGCGGCTAGCGAGGCATTAGAAATTTTCCACTAATCTTCCCCAAGAGCTCAGGTTCAGCTCCTGACCCCACCAAGTCCCGCAGCACGGACACTGGATCTACATGGACATCCATCTGCTTGGCCACCGTGCTCGTACGTCCCCTCTCAAGAGCCCGTGGATGCTTGGCCATTGCCAGTGCTCCACCACCTTCCTCTGGCCTTCCTCTGCCTCCTCCTCCTCACTGAAGCACGGAGTTTCAATGCACAAGCACACATTGTTGCTAGGCATACACACACCCCCGCAAAGTACACAAATCTGCCAGCTCGCTCGTCCTCCCCCAATGCAAGTTTTACTTCGAGCGGTGCCTCCGGCATGGAGAACAACAAAAAAACACCCAGCAAAATACAACAACAACAACAACAAACAGCGACACGGGTTTGCCAGCAACTACTGCGGGAGGCAGAGCTGCCCGTATCACCAAGGAAAGTTGGATAAATGCGACTGCAGCTCCACTGGGACTCTCCAGCAGCCTCTACATTTGCACCAAGCTGTCTTACACGCAGTAGGATCAACGTAGGAGAAGACACCAAGGCAAATGGGGTGAACAGAAACCAAAGCATCGACCCCAGATCCCCTCCGCAGATCCCCTTCCTCTTACCTTGCACGATGAGATGGACGCGCGATGTCTTGGGGTGATTGTCTGTCTGCACCGAGCAGGTGTAGGGGCCCTCATCGTACACATCCACGTCTTGGATCTGGATGCTGTACTGGGTCTTGGTGTTGGCCAAGAGCACCACCCGAGGGTCCAAGCACCACTTGTCATTGCCGGCATAGAGGATGCTGCTGCGGGTCCGCCA